CCTTCTCACATGATTACCTCCATGTCATTCTGGCATCCACACCCGACTCGCCGTTTCCTATCCGCACTCCTTATGAGAGTGTGTCACATGATATACATATAATAGGAATAAGCCAGGTAGAACAGGATGATTAAATGTGAATGCTTTTACCACTTTTTCCTCATATCCTACAGTGCTTCTCTTGAATTGTCACTCACGATATTCTGTTACAATTAAACTAAATCATGTGTCAATTTCTTTTACTGGTATTATTTTTATAGATGGCTCTGGTGAACAACAACCGGCTTGCACTAAAAAGTTAAAAACTGACAAGAAAAGCAAACCTACTCTACAAATTATATTAGATCAAGCTAAATCGACTGGTTTCAATGGTGACATCATTTTGGCTGATGATCAGATGTTAGTGAAAATCCCACAATTATCTGAGCAAGACATTGCAAAAAGTGTATAAATTTCTCCAAAAGTTAATCCCACACTGTTCAAATACTGTAATTTATTATTATTTTATATGGAAATAAAAAAAATGGCTGTGGAATATATGTGTAATTCAACGACTTTTCTGAATCAAATTATAAATAACCGAAATTATGATGAACAAAACTGTCATAGTCATCGATATCGTTTAAAATGTGACAAATGGATGAATAAGATGATGCCAACACTTATTTTGTCGGCTTCCCTTCAGCTGCATATAACCTTGGAGGACGAAATTAAGTATACGTCTAGAGAGTTCTTCACCTACTTCCAAAGGTGACATGATATCAGTTAATAGGAGACTGCGAAATTCATTAACAGTCTTCAGTAATTACTCATTTAACTTATAAATGGAAGGTACAAGTTTAAAGAAAACAAAATCAAAGAAGTAATAAATGCTTGGATATGATAGAAAGGCAGTTACGTAATACGGACAAGAAGTGAATACACAGATGGTAAGTATCTAATAAGTGACATAAGAACGTGGTGAATTCAACTCGGGTCATAGAAATAAAAAAACAAGCGAAAATTACGTTATAGCAAAAGAGGTAACGGTTAAAACTAAAGATTACGTTATTAAATAAAAGATAGTGTAAAAATATCGAGGTGACAGGGCGATGAAAGACTGATAAGTGTTTCTTTCTTAACACAAATTGAGTTTCAGGCACTTGATCACAATCGCTTCGGCTAACCTGGGGAGAAATGAACTGTTCTATCTACCCATAATCTCAAAGGATTTTGGAGTGTCCATCTCCTTACCCGTATCAGCAGAATGTGTGGTATTACCACTATTGAAAGCGTTTGTTCCTTGGAGACTTAGGTTTTTTTAGTACATGTTCAGATAAGTGAAGGTTTGTTCTTCCGACAAATAGTCTAGTATGAGTAGAAATTATTGTGTTTTCACGATTTTTCCTCTTTGTTGACCCTTTGGTCAATTAACAAGATATCTGTAGTAGGGTGTGTATGTTTTAGTTGTTCTATAGGCCTCTTGGCTTTGAGTTCGTTGTCAGGCATGTGAACGTAATTCTTGGCCTCATGGTTCGTGCTACTTCATTATTCATGAAAAATCCCCATTCGAACATTAATAGAGAGAAGACCAGTAGTTCAGAGCCGAAAAGAGACTCTTCACTGAACTACTGGTATTCTGACTATTACTTCATTATGGCTAACAGCAGCGAAGAAAGTTAAACACCAATTAACATGACATTAAGACAGGCAGTTTCCTTCACCCACGTGGCCGATAAGGGTGCATGTGCTCAAATATTTTCTACATCCTCTTTTACATGAATTACTTAACAACCAACCTATCTTCGTTTTCCAGGTTATGACTATTAGGAAGCCGCAAAAGTGTATCGATCTGAACATGATCATGTGTAGACTTCATAGCTCCTTCTCCCATCAGGTTGTGCGAACGATTCTCAACTGACACATTCCCGGAATGAAAGAGGTATAGAAACTAATTATTCCCAAAAAGTAGTGGGCCAAGTCAGATTTCAATCACTGAAAAGCAGGAACGCACCAATCACGGGAAAAAGGCGATTTTTAAGTATATTTATGAAAATAATGAATAAAAAGGTATGAAACCGTTACACTGAATTGTCACGAAAATGTCTCCCAGTTTTTCATTGGAGCGTCAATAGAGTGATATTCTATACATGTATTCATCTAGGTCTCCTAAGTCTAACTCGAACCAACCCTAATATCTCCTGTATTATGTTAACCTGACCTTAGCCTAAACCTTAACTTAATCTTTCTCAAACCTAACCTAAAACTTACCTGATATCCCACTAAGTATCATAACACTTCATTCGGTACACTTTATTAATGATTATAGTGTTATTTACCTGGTTTCACTAACTTGCCGATTGGGTGTTCTAAGGTAATTGGTACGGCCGAACTCCTTTGGTGCTTAAAGTTTAATTTGACCAGGTAATGTATTGATGTCGTATGGAGCAGGTATTTCTTAGGTGACTGCTACCTTTTCTGGGTTAGACTGACTGCTTCATGAAAGGATCTCATGTGAATGGACATCAAAAACACTGAATGGGGACTACGTGCTGTACAAACCACTAAAAGTGTATTTCGAAGTTGTACCGAATATGATTTCATCATCTAAATGCAATGCTGCACCTTAGGTTTCAGTAGTGTCTATGATTTTCTGGAAAATGCTCAGATTCGTCTGCACACCAAATGATAATTTTTGACACTGATAGTCAAAACTTTTCTTGATGAGTCATCCACTTCTTACTGTCAATAAGTATCAGCTAAGTCGATCTTCTCGAAATATTTTCCACCATTCAGCTTGACGGTAATACGTTCTGGTACTAGGAGGATGTGAATGATGTTCTAATACATCGTTCAACCTAATAGGGAAATCTGCACAAATACTTACCACTCCACTTTCCTTTTTTAGAGTAGTTAAGAACACCCAATTTTAATTGCTCCAACTCTCGATCGAATGAGTCAAGATTTGCATAAGTAACTGATTTTTTGGTTTGAAGCCTGGCTTAGCTTCAGTTTCGAGGAATAATTTAGTTATCTGAAATAAGTAGTTGAATACTTCTTTACGTTAAGTGCATAGAACACTCATCAGTGTGTCTACACGTCCATCAAGAAGTAGTTGTGGAGATAGGCATATTTGTGGACCAACAAAACTTAAGAGTATTCCCCGAAGTGATATTTCATCGAACCAATCAATACTCGGAATAAGGAAATTACGACGATTAGAAACAAAACATGAATGTTCAAAGTTTTTCTATATGAATCTAATGCCGTAAGAGATTCCCCAAATAGATTTTAAAATATCCCCAGAGGCAGTTTTAGGGATATGGCACAGTAGAAAATGATCGAAATACAGATGCATGAGAGATAAAGGTGGTGTTCTAAGTGTTATGGTATATAGTTATGGTCAGATTGTAGTATGTTTAGGAGTGTTCACAAATACAATGTGAATAAATGGAATGCGATAACTGAAAGTGGATCTACTTTTCTGATTTAAATGCATAACTGACGCAATTAATTTCATATATATCGTTATAAAATTCATTACCTAACTTCAAGCTAAGTGTATCAATAACAAATCACAAATGCAGATTATTGTGGTTTTTTCAATGAAAACCAGTATTCAAATGGCAAGTTTTAATCTACTCAGAATGTCGAAATGGATGGGGTGAAGCAAAAAGAAGACTATTATAGTTATTATTGTTCCCTCGGGCTCCGAGTATAACATAGGGCCTCAACGGCACATCTCCACTTTGTCCTAATCTTTGCGTCCTCTTCAGCTGGTGCCACCACTGCTTATAGTCTTCCAACTCTTCGCATGACCTCCATGTCACCCTATGACGGTCCACTCGTCGTTTCCCATTCGGGTTCCACTCGAGGGCCTGGCGCGTGATGTTGTTCGACGGCCTCCTGAACTTGTGCCAAATCCATCTCCATCTTCTCCTACATATTTGTTGAACGATAGGTTTTTGGTTAGTTTGCTTGCATAGTTTCTCGTTGCTGGCTGTCCATTTGATCTTCAGTATGGAGCGAAGGTAGCTGTTGATAAAAGTATGCAGTCTGCTGGAAATCCTTTTTGTGACGCGCCAAGTTTCTAGCCCATGTAGAACCATTAACTGACTTCCCATTTGTGTTGAAAATCCTAATCTTGTTCTCTATGTTGAGTACAGAAGATTTCAGATTGATGGTGTGTCTCTCCTTTCCGATTCTGACTGGCTTTGACATCTTTATCCGTTCCGATTGCCTGTGGTTGCAACAATGCTTCCTCCTGTTTTTCGCAAGCAAGCTGAATAACAGAAAATCCAAACGAGCCGCTTCACACTGCAAATGATCTCAGACGATACGTTTCTAAGTCGACCCGAAGATAAAAAAGACACTATCGGAAAACCTTGAAGCCTAAACTTACTTAACCAATTAAATTAGTTATTTACTGGCTTAACTTTCCAAGGTGGAGAATGTCCATATATAATATAATTTTGTAGAACAAAAGCCAATTGTTCTCACCAGTTTGGATCAGCCTATCTTTACTGCGTGAACCCTGGGGGTCATTGGTGGTTGGGAATAGGTATAGAATTCGGTCTTCAGACGAGTTACTTACTGCCTACTCGTATCGAACTTTAGTCGCACCATCACTGTTGGGGACGTTATATAACCCGAACAGCAGTTATCTCTATCGTCCTGTTGATTGATTACATTAGGTCGAAATGTTCAGCCTCCGTCAATATGTCGGCTCCTAGAACGGACGCTTCGATGATGTCCGAGGATTAACATGCTGTTACTTGACAGATGGTCACTAGCAGTGGAATGCAGGATGCGCATCTCGCCCTATTCGGGACTCGTCGTCTGCATGTGTCTGCCTTCCCTTCCTGCTGAGACATGAACCTAGTACCAAACGCCAAAAAGCTATTATTGACCACTTGGGCCATGAGAGTTACTGCTGCTACTCACCATCCACTAAATAGGAACTAATTTTATCTTACTAAAGCCGGAAGAAAAAGGGGAAACATTCAATAATAATAATAATAGGATTATTCAAATAAATTATGTGTGCATAATAGAAACAAAAGAAGAAGAAAAAACGATTCAAAATATACAAAGAGATGAAAGAAAGTTTCAGCCTTATTTATGTACACACACACACACACATTCAAGCATACATAGCAAACAAGGCTAACCAGTTTTCTTTTTCTGTTTAGATACAGCTGGTCTAGAGAAAATCTGTTTGAATCCACCACCATAATTTGACTGGAATTTCGCATTCTGTGGATTCGTTGTTGACCATGGTGAATCGAAGACAGTTGTATCTTGATCCACCAAATGTGTATACTTGGTACGTCCAGCACGTCCAAAATTTTTGACCTAAAATGTTTAAATTTTGTAACAAAAGTGCTTTGTAGTTAACATTCATTTTGTTATAAAATCAAAAAAAGAACACAGTTACTACATGTAGAAATCAGCTGTTAGTAATATACACTAGTTATTGAATTTGAAAATCGCTCATGAACTGCACGTTCTATAATAGTATTCAACAGTTGAGTGCCATCTAAGCTCTTACGTCAATAGCCTTTGTGTCGTAACTCATCCATTGAAAATCACTGTGTACATTCCACAATAACAAGAAATTACCAAGAAGCAACGAAATATCTGACTGTTTGGATTCAACATAGAACTTGGCACCGAAGTGCAGCAGTTCCAGTTGCCACGTTCCAAATAGCACACAAAGGTAGACAAGAAGATGAGTAAAGAGAATCAATAGAGTTTTGACAAGTATAAGAGTGAAACAGAATGAGTAATGGTAGAAAGGAATATGAAAGATTACAGAGACTGAATACATCTGCGTAAGCCATTGACAACGATTTTGAGCCATGTCACCTATTGTCTCCAACCAGTGATTCTTAGAGTCCCGAGGGCCCCAACCCGGAAGTCTGCATCTCCTTACCTGACTCAGTTTAACTGTCAGGGATTTCATGGATTGATAACGCCATGTTTTTGTTTAGCCACCACTTACTCGAAATATACTGATGCATAAATCTGAATGGGCGAAAATAGTTCAAATTTATCTGCAAGTTGTTGAGTAATCTAACACTTTTAAGCGGATTGATTTTCGTCAAAAGAAATTATTTGATTCTATAATCCAGTACTCATATGAAATTGGTTTTGAAACGAAATCTCTGTAATGGTATCCGATAACAAATTAATCCTCTTTTTTAGGTTCTAAGCTCCACGTTGATTCAGAGGCATTTTAAAATCTGAGCACAACAAGTTGGAGAGAATAAAGTAATCAAATCGATTTTGAGACACCGGCGTACACGTCAATTCCCGACTTAAAGGTGAACTAGACTATGTCGACCGAGAACTCATGTTATGGTATTTGGTTGTGAGGAAAGTGACGACAAAGTGTTAACATAATTACCGGTTTTTAGTTGAATTAGGACTAGTGTGCAAGATATCACAGAACTGACTTCACTCAGTGATACACTTTAAGGAAGCTCACTGATATAATTCTAATTTGGTGATAGACACAATGTTAAATGTGACCTTCATATTTGAGGAGTTCATTCACTACCAGTGAAAAGCCCATTGAATTAGGGTACACAGACAACAAGGTCCTTTTAAATGATGATGATGATGATGAAATACAGAATCTTCTGAACACCACTGAAATACATTTGAGTAGATTTTGCTTGTACAGCGGAGATGTCAAACACAAAACTTCAACAAGCTTCATCTGGACTGAATCACAGTTTAAGCGTAGAGCAGAAAATGATTAAGTGCTACACTTATTTGGGAAGTTACGCCAGCAACAAAAGACCAGTTGGTAACGAAACCTAAGCACAGATACAAAAGGCTCAGTAGGTAGGAACCAATTTGGGTGGAGCTGTTACATCCGACCACATATCAAAGGCGGAGTGCAGGGCATAACAACTAACCTACTCTTCAACAAAACTCAGACAGTCATAAAGCATACGTGAGGAAAGGCTACCGGTTTCTGACCATGATTTTTACGTACTATGGCTAGTGTTCAGTACAGCAACGTAGTGTTATATAAAGGAGGTAACTCAGTTAATAGAAGTGTGGGACACATGTCGCGTATGCTTAGCTACTGCTTCTCGTGACAAAGTTGACTGAAATGGGGTTGGATTAGAAAATTAAGGATATTTAGTCTGAAATATGATTCTAATCCACGTTGTCTTCGACTGTTAGTCTGATAACTCAGTTGCCTGGTACCGGACTGTGAGCCGCACATAGAGTATGAGGATTGACGATACTACTCAGTTGCTCAGACTGAAGTAGTCGCAGCAAGATTTGAAACAAACTGTTGATTGAATAAACCAATTTCACAGGACTAAGTATACTGATTCGATAAATACGGCTGAATGAAAATCTCGGGATGAGGAATTCAATTTTTCGTCCAGAAATTACACAGTGCAAAGTGCAATTTCACCACAGTTCCCTTTGGAAGCGATAAATATCAGATAACAATATGTGCTCTTAAGGAGTATTTACATCACTTCGACCTGTCTAGCAAAAACAACTGTTTTAGATGAGCGGCTTCAAACTACTCATATCAACAAATAAGTAGTATATGCTGTTACGCTTTCAGAATTATAAAGAAGGATCATATGAATTCACTGTTCCAATAAGTGAAGATGCATAATTTATGAACAAATGGTTCCCTTCCACTTGTACGGTCGAACACAAAGGTCATCTAAAAGACACTGTTCATTGCTGACTCTTTCATAAACTATTCTAATCCAACATCTTTGAAACTACTATACGAAGTCAGAGTTAGTAAAGCTTAAAAAGTTGGAGTATTTGAAAATGTGAAACACTTCCAGAATCTAACCAGGAATAATCAGTCAAAAGTAACACAGCACATACAATAGCTAATGCCGTAAAAATCATCTTTAACATTTCTCGTCATTTAATGTATGGTGAATTTACTTCTGATGTGTACTGTATTCACCAAGTAGATGGAACGGTGGGCAGGTCAAAGTACGACACAACAGAAGTGAAGGCAAACAAGTTAAAGTCGAAAATTGTACCCTTGTTAATACAGTATACTCAAACTACCTCATATGAATGAAAAAAGGAAAATCTCCAAAAATATATATAACAATGCTGACCTGCATAACAGTGGGTAACTTCGTCTTGTCGAAATGATCCTCCAGAGTTGGTTGTGTAAAATCTTGTTGAAAGACTTTATCCTCCAGTGAAGTAACATAGAAAGCACCCCGATGAAAGTATTTCTGAAGAAATTTGTATTTACCCTTCACTGATTTATTAGTGATCAGTTTAGGGTTTCTTATGAATTCTTCACGGCGTTGTTCATCAGTCATATTACGTATTCTTTCAATCTGTATGAATAAAGTATGAGTAAAGTGAACTTAAGATACGGAAACTAAATTAAATTGAGGATTTTACCTAAACTATCGGAAAATTATTGTCAATTATTAGTAATAAAAAGTTACAAAATGGAATCTGATAACGTATTCCTATGAACCAATCAATACACACATTGAGTAGCCAGCTTAAACGTTACCCAGCAACCACTTGTAGTCGTAGGCATCTGGCAGTGAGCCACACCTATCGTGTGTGAGGCTACTCAAACCTCGTCAGGTGGAGTAGGGTTCAAACGCATAACTCCATGACTGGAAGTCAAGCGCCTAAACCAATGGCCCACAGCTACAGCTTAACTGGCAGCTTACTGAATTGACAGATAACTATGGATCTCAATAGTACGAAAAACCACGTGGATATTTCAAAGTAGCATTAAACGTAAACTGGCGAAAACAATTAGCTCTCACTTTAAATGAACCAAATTATCCACAATATTCAGTGACAGCATAAATCCAAGCGGTGACTGGTGGAACAGTAACTGTTCATGGATAACACCAAAAAAATCTCAACAAATATTAAACTTGACGGATAGACTGTTTATTAAACATGTTGGCTATTTATTGAGACTGGATGGTAACCTCTGCGGATCTCTAACTTCAAGTCGCGAGCTTTATAACTTGATGCAAAGTCACGTATACACTTGTATGACGGCTGATGAAAGTGATCAGCTGACAGAATCTCAGTAAAAAGATAGAGGTTTGAAATTTGAATGCAAACTATCTGATGTCTTAATCAAAGTGTATTAATTAATTTTAATATATGATCTTAATTCTCAGTGATACAAAGTTGTTGGTTGATTGATGATTGAGTCTGTAGTATACTTCGCATCTAGATTAGTGTTTAGGATATTTTTCAAATGCAATACAAGAAATAGGTGATACAAAATCTTCGACAAAACATGTGTTTCTTCAAGATATCTAAGTAAGAGATCTCTAGTCAACTAGTTTATTATTTTCCAAAATAATCTGATAGCTGAACTAGATCTACCCACATTTATTCCTAGATCAATTCGTATTCCCCACTGATAGATTTACGGTCTGTGTTATCATGATGGTTCCCATTAGGAAAGCATAGACGACGTCTGAAGGTTAACATGATGTTATTTTTGATGATGATGATGATGATGACTAGGGACGCAAGTACATCTAGCTGATGAATTTCAAATAGGGTGAAATACGCACCCTAGATTCAAGTATTGGTTACAATCGACCAAAATAGATCCACACTACTTGAATCTGTAAAATGATATCGTGTGCGAGAGAATCCTCCATTATTACAGGTATTACTAGAAGCTATGAAACATGAACACATTACTAACGTAATACTGATTTGCTCATACCTTTCTGGATTTATTCAAAATTAAAAGCAAAGAATAATTACATACTACGTGTTGCGTAATATTTTTCCCGTAAGCTTTTTGGCTAGGTGTTTTGGATAAACTAAACTTCAACTTGATCGAAATTCACATATCAAAACTTAGTTCATTGTAAAATTTATGGAAAATGTATCGCTTGGTATATAATGTATACCAGTCAGTATCCTAATCATATTACGGGTAGGTAATTGGGAGGGGATTTCACTTTCAATGACACTTAGTCATCAAATTAATTGTAATTTTGTATGTTAGCCGCAGGCTTACAAAATTCTTCAGACAACACTCTACACTTGCAGCATAATGCATAACTCATAGATGTGTACGGCGGAAATCTTAACAGAAAAAAACGTGTTAACTAAAAGAGAACACAATGAATAAAATACAATACCTCAGCCTTTTCTTGGGCAGCTGCCTCACGAATTTCACGATCTCGTCGAATACGTTTCAATTCTCTAACTTTCCATTTTTCGTATTCTTCTTGTTCAGCTTGAGGATTGCCTTGACCCTCGTCAGAATCTAATGCATCTAGGGCATCTTCTATTGCATGGGCTTCTTCGGCTTCACGACGTAATTCGATTTCCAGCATCTTAATGGATTTATAATACAAAATAATGGTATAGCTTTACATTGGCAATTATTACTTAATACAAATAAAGATGTGGAGTGAGTATTGAAGTAGCATAAAGATTAAAAACAAACAATATAGCTTCATTATATTGGAAATTAGTTTACTTTCTTGAATTTCTATTAATAAAAAACTCGGGGGGGGGGATTAAACATAACTGTATATTGATTCATAAAAGAGACCAGCACTACTAACAATACTAACCAACACTCAAGTTTCTCACAACCACTAAAAGGATGAGAAATGCATACTTCGTTTGCTAAGGGAATTGTAAACATCGCTATATTTTTCGTCCTCGTATACGTCGTTACTGAGCCATAGACTTCCTCATAGAGTAATATCAGCTGACATGGGGTTAGGTTGAAGAAGAGTCAGACATGATCAGTTCAAAACCTATAATCGATTCATGAAGTCTTTGACTGTTGGTTTGAACCAGTCATGTAGAAAGGTGCAGACTATCTGTTTGATTTCCTCAGGATGCTTACAACCAATGATTTCAGACTGTGAGCGATACAGTTATCCTCAGTGGTGCAGATGAATTAGCTCTTTGTAATATCCCACGGCTATTCAATCCTCATTATTCTCTATGTAGTTACTATTTCTCCCGTACATAGCTTACTTTTTCATGTCAACTAAAACACTAATCAGTAACTGGAAAACTTTCTCTCACGTTTGAAATATGACTTAATATTTTCTTCTGAATACAATTTATATGCAGGGTTTTAAAATTTAATTTATTGTTAACTACGTGTTACTTGGGGGGAAACAGCTAACTGTGAGAATAAAACACCTTTAGGTTAGTGTGATTAATTAAACAGACAACTAGTTTTCGAAGCAACTGTACTACAATTCCAATTAATAATTCAAGTAATTAGTATGCTCTAAAGAAGTGACACACACGACAGTTTGTCATACATTTAAAACAAGAGAGTGAAATGTGGGAATTAAACTGCAAAACAGTCACAGTGTAACGGTAGAAGACTTGGCAAAGGAATGTTTATTTGGAACTTTTTATCTTTAAGTAGCAAATTATGTACACCTTATCTGAAAATCATCATTTGCACATATCTTCCGTGCCGTGCTACTTCTCGCCTTCCTTCATATTGTGTTTCTTTATCTTCTTTTCGTGTCAACCATGTTTTGCCGCTACGCTGAATCATTTTCTCTCTTTGACGTCAAATCTATCTCTCCGCTAGTTGATATTTTTATGCGGATGGATGTCTCTCTATATATTACTTATAAATCTTATCAGTAGCACACGCCACAGCAGCGATGTAACTAGAAATATTTGCATATTGTTGAAATACTTCAGAATACAAAGTTTGAAATACTCCGATGCCTACTAATTATTTTTAAAATTAACTTTTTGATTACAAGAAGGTTAACTGATCGCTGTTTTTTACAGTCTACGACGGATAATACATTGTAGAGCATTACATGTGCTGCTAAGGAGCAGCACATCGCCATTTCATCCTGTTTTCTACAATTTTCTTGGGCTGGCCCCACGATTGCCTATGAGTTTCCATCTCTTCCTCACACGATCCACTTCATGTCACTCGGATGTATTCTCAGCGTATGTCAATCCCTATTTCCTTCGGTATATTTTTGGGCAAAAGGTTTTTGGTTGCTTCTTTGCTGCAGTCCCTTGTTGCTAATCCCTTTTGGCTTGCCATCTGTTTTTTAGTATGGAGTGAGGGCAGCTGTTGATAAAAGTCTGCAGATAGTTCGAAATGCTTTTGTTGACTCGCGTGAAGTCTTTGGATCATATAAAAGCACTGACTGAATCTTGTTCTTTATACTGAGTGCAGCAGATTTCCACAGTGATGAAGGTTTGTCTTATTTTTCCAATACCCGCTCTGACATCCCCATCTGTGTCGGCTGTAGTTGAAACGATGCTGCCAGGGCGAGTGAAAGAGGTGGCTTCCTTCATATTTCTTCCATTGATGGTGATTGATGCTTGTTTTTGTCTTCTTTATGTTCAATTAAAGTCCTTCTGTTGCTACTTCTTCTGAAAACTTGTTGTTTTTTCGCCTAAAGATCTTCGAGTTTGTGTGACACTAAAAATATGTCAACCACGAAGTTGAGATCTTCCTGTGTCTTCTCGCTCCCCGTGGTCTGTTACATGGTACATCGTGTTGATAAAAATTTAAATGGAATATTCCAACGCAAAATCACAAATATTCGACAGGGCCAGTAGAGCTAATAAAATCTTCAAAACTTATTCCTACCTAAAATAAATTTTAAGGGATGTTATATGACTGCCTTGGAACATATCACTTAAAGTGTATGAACGAGAACTAGTGAATAAAAACACACTTGTCCAACAGCTCTTCTGATACTTTACGTAAAGTAGATATAATGAATAGAGTAATAACAATATACGGAACAGGATAAAAACGGATCCACTTTATTTCGCCGATATCTTGTCGACTAGCTAAATAAATACTGATCTGTTTTATTCTACTCCGTGTGTTATTATTACTATGTTCAAATTCACTGAAGGGAACTCATCTACGCGAAAATACATACATAATGATCCACAGAACAATATCGATCAACAGAGATACATCATTTTGACTTGAAAAGTATGTGTTATGCAACTAGACTAGTTTATTAGATTGTAGCTTAAACAATAAATAGTAACACAAAATCGATAATAAAGGCACCCTGCGATTCACCTACCTAGCCACTAAGAAATCAAACCTAGAAAAATGACGTTGGACAAGAGTACTTCAAAACAATTGTCTCTAGACTAGAAGTATATTTTAACAGCTTAGGAATGGCATGACTAAGAATAAACAAATCTCTGGAATAATATTTTAAGGGAAAGACTACTGAAACAAACAAAAAGTAACTTGACTGTAAGAAAATTTTGTACGGGCCAAATGACAGTGACCACCTACCACGCGCAATAAGAAAAAAAAAACTATATGTGGCAGCTTAATATCAGATAAATGTGTGGACGACAAACGTGGATATCTCAGTTTCTCGAATACCACCTGTATTTCCACACGATTAAGTTTTTCGCATCCAAGTAGTGTTCCTTCGATTCTTATCGTGATTCTATTTCAAAATACACCCTTTAACAGTACTATATTAGATTCACTAAGTTTATCATCCCAGATAGTCTAAGTAGGCTAAATAGGTATACGGAATACAAAAAACTTCAAATCAAAAGAAGTTTGAAATTATTAGTGACACAAGCTACACGGCATACATACGACCTATTTAGCATTGAATGAATATTTATGATCAACGAAACTGCTGTTAGTATTATTACACTATACATGTAACCATAATGGGCACAAAATCCTGCACCATATATAACCAACTTAAAAAGTATCCAGGCATACAATTCATTTGAAATTAACATAAAGCATGCAAAATGTACGAGAAAGCTTATTAGTAATGCTGAAAAAAAACTCATTCAAAGTTACCTTGAGAGTTGTCTTTCGGCGTTCCTCGGCAAGCCGTTTCACATCGGCTTCAGTCTCTTGAGCAAGTTGATCAGCTTTGTGTTTCGCTTGTAAAGTTATTCGATCACGTGCACGTACAAATACCGGTTTTAGTTTGGGTGCAACTTCATCATCTGAGCTTGTGTACTCTTCTTCAGAGTAACCAAGCTCATCTTCTGCATCTGCGTCGTCATAATTAGTATCATTTTTTAGATCTCCATCATTTTTCACCGATTCAGCGTTTATTTGTGCAGCCAAAGCTTTTTTACGTATAAGCTGTAAAACAAAAACACCCACTACAACAGGAAACTTAAAACTTTGGAATATATGAAATACTGATAATGTTATTTACACTAGACGAAATACATTCACGAATTGTATTGTGGATGATCAGGAAGTTCATTTGGTTATTTTTTTTCCAACCGTCACCATGCAGTCAAGGTTATCAATGAAACAGTCAGGTAGTTGAATGCCACTAATACAGTGGGCTGCTTTAAACTCCTACATAACATTTCAACAAAATAGAAAAATCTAGAATCTAACCGAAATATAAATTAGCAAGGGAAAAGGGAATGGAATCATCTATATAGGATGCAGAGTTACTTCATCAGTATTGCAAACCTATAAATAACCTGATACAGCCTACAGTACCTAGGCTCCTAGCTTACCTTTGAAATGTTCTCACGCGTCTATGCATTCGCAGTATGCCAGGTAAATGCTACACACTGCCTTCACTTGGTGGGGGATAAATTGACAAAATTGAAGCGGCAAATGACAGTCGCAGGAGCTTATCGCCGTATTTGTGGACATGCAGTTGCACCTAGATCATTTAGACTGCCTTAATTCCAAACCTAACGTGCACATTCTGTTGCTCCCGAGCTAGTTTACTTCCCCATTCATTACATTATTATTTTCGTGTGGTGCATCTCTTTATGCCCATGCTGTACCGAGTTTATATTTAGAATAAAATATAATAATCAGCATTACTGTAAAAAAAACTTTCGAGGATAAGATGCATGATTTTCAACTATTTGCTTTTTAAAGGTTTCCAACGGTCATGTCTAAACTAGGTCTGTTATCTTTAATATAATATATAATATCCTACTGGCTATGATATAAGGCTTGTTACTAGTGGTCATAACTTAGAAGTAATTGAGGATGCAGGTATTACCAGTTACAATTACTATTTTCATTTCACTAGCATGTTATGATCGAAATCCATTATAATCATCAAAGAACTGTTGTTTAATACGTAATAGGCTGCTGCAAGTCAATGAACTTGCTAACAGATAAAGTTAACTATGTACGTAAAACTCAGACACTGTAAATGTATTATTTCATATTAGTTTGTTGACTGTTCCTATCATATTATCATAGAACCAACTGAAAGCATAGGCAGTAGAAAAACCTGTCCCCAGGATATAGAAAATTCTACTACCTTTTCAACAAATGGAAGAGAAGAACTGGAAGTAAATGAACTAAGTTCCACAGCTGCGGAGTTATATTTAGTGTTTATCAATAACAGTGCTAGTAACGTCATTCAGTAATTATGCTTCATTACGTGATCTGTATAACAGACAAATCAAAATTAACAAGAAACTAAGTGACAAGCTGTCTGCCTGTTTTATTTTTCCTGACACGTTTGAAGAACAACCTAAGTGTTCAGGGAGAAAATCACAAGAGACGGTTAGAAACTCTAGGATATAGCTGGCAACTGATACAAGTAATGCAAGTGCGTTCAAGCTTTATCTCCACCCATAAAAAATCCCGGTATTACAACAATGGTCAAAATAACGTTGATTAGACAGTGGTGAGACAGAGTTAGGTGAATACGGGGAAGGTAGGGGAGACGCTTGTTTTCGAAATCACTCATTCATTTAAAATAAACAGAGATGAAATTTATCAATAATCAAAACTGGTATTCGAAAACAACTTACTTCACGCCTTCTCATTAATTCAGCTTCATCAACATCCTCTTCATCAGCATCTTCTGCATCCGAATTCTGGGGGCTTTCCTCGCTATAATGACCAGACTTGCGGTACTTTTTGTGACGGGTAACCCTGTCAGTTTCATCTTCTTCGTCACTACTTTGGCTAAGTTGGTCCTACAAAAATTTTATCATAAAATTATTCATGAAACACGAAAAATATTTAAGGAGAAAGCTCCTAAAGTGTATATACGGTCCCATTCATGAAGACTTTCTTAATATGGATCTTTCAATTGTACTATCGACCCTTTTCATCGGACAAACACCTAGTATGAAAGGAACCTAGTTACAACACTATTTAATGGAGCACAAAAGAGCTGCTCTGAGAGTACAATTGCATATGAAGACGCTGAATGATATTTTGACTAAGAATGCATATCCTGAGAGGTTTATCTACAAGTATTCTTAAGAAATGAGTCAATAAAACTGTCCAACTATTTCAAAGAAGGCTATATGTAAATATATCGTTTCGTTTTTCATTCACTGGGAAATACAAAAAACTTCTATAACAATGTATGCATCATTTCACCACTTACAGCAGACGATTTACTAAAAGTAGTTAAACGAACACACCACAAAGCTCCTAGAAAAACGTCTTACGTTACAGAGCTTATTCCTTAACACCACCAAGTGGTTGTTTCAACGATCTCGGAAAGACTGGTCGCAAACTTTTAACACTAACTGTGTATATCAGTGAGTGTATTTGTGGGAGCAAATACACAAGACATACGGAAAGTCAATTATCCGCTCTCATAACGGAGCATTCGCCCATGGTTGAAGAAAGCGGAAGTCAAATTGCCCGAAAGTTCGATAATGCATCTCATAGACTAAAGCCATGATACTAATTCTGTCAATTTAGTCATTTTTTCAGCAAGCAAACAGACAGAAAGATACTTACAACTGCGGAGGCTTTTAGTATAAGGGTCTATAAAGGTCTTTCAAACTACAAAGGTAATAGCTTTTACTTATCAACTGGTAGTACTACTATTTTGTCTTATTTCATCTCTTATTATTATCTCAATCAAAATTACCTTTTGTCAGGGCCATTATCTTGCCTGGTTTCATTATTATCATTAACTGATTACTATTCATCTTGCTCTTCTTAACATTTTCAAATTCTCTCTCTCTCTCTGATAATTAATTTTTTGTTGTAGTGACTCAACAACATTAATCCACTAAGATCTTAATTTTTAATTTCTCATGACGTTTTTTCTTGTCTATCTAAAATTGAAGTGTAAAACATTCCCGCATATTGTTTTGCACGATTGATCTACTGTGGTTTGATTACTACTCATATATCTTGCCATTTATTAATCACAGTTTATACAACGCTATGTACAGCATTCAGCTGAAAAGTACTACCAACACTTGATGAATTCAATAACCTAATTACTTACAAGGAAGTATAGTTTCATTTTAGTGAAAACCTTAAGTTCTGAATACAAGCTATATCTGTTATCGGGGCTTTTATGATATTCTGAAAGTTTAATAGCCACTCGGTGACTAGATATCAAAGGAAAGTGTTATTTGTAACTAGGTAAATCTTTTTGCCTTCACTAGCCTTTTTACTAACTTCAAGTTGGGATGGCATTCGGTATTCATATGAACAGAAACAAAACACTACTGAAGAAGCCTTCAGATGGATAGAACAATCAAACACGCACGTGAAGAACACTTAACTGTCTGCAAAATCAAGGATTATGAAGAAAGAATACAATTGTGCCCCTAAAATTGACTTTGAGACATAATCAAAGGTAACCAAGTACTGTTCACCAACATGTTGAAGACTTAAGTCGATGGACTTACACTTCCAACACCATTATGTGTATGATTTTCATTGTTATACGAAACGTGCATTTCCTTTGTGTACTGCTTTAATAAATCTATTAACATCAAATAGTGAGACATCAACGAAAACACCGTTTTGTTTTCATTCACTGAGAAATACAGTTTTTTTGTAATAATGAAATCTACACCTCTCTAAACGTCTCAGAACAGTCGAAAAATTGTCAACTGAGGTGACTTTCAGGTTCAATAACTATCCAGATAATTTGAAATACTTTTTATCTGCCAAGACTTTTATACAAAAATAAACCAGAGAAATATAACACATCAGTTCGTCTAGTCAGGAATCATTCATTTTAAGTTGCCTAACGCTATACATCTACGTTAAAAGTATGGGCTGTGAATTTAAAACAGTTGACAGACACTGTGATAGAAAACAATTGCAACTTTATAATTACCATCGGTAACTGAAATAAAAAGGACACGTAGATAAAGTGATACGGAATTCACCTGTTAATAAACATTACCCTATTATGACCGGTAAAACAGCAGCAAATGTACGAGTTTTGATGCATAGTACATGGGTAGATTCTACCTAAGCAATTTACTCTTCAACTTATGACACGCGTCAATACATTTAGGTTGCACAATGTAAAATTAATTAATTCTCATATCATATTAGACTTCACTTCGACTAACCGAAACATAAATCAGTATTTACTTCCGCAAGATACTTAAAATCATAAGACCTAGAATTTGCGTCGGTGGTTCAACCGTAGAATGCTCGCCAACTATGCACGTGGTCAGTGATTTGATTCTCGGTTGACGCATTACTAAACCTCGCCAAGCCAGTATTAAGGCTGATAAATAGGGGATTGTGCGTGCGGCTAGAAACCCTACGCGTTAAAAAACATCGCTGCATCCGAAACTTCAAAACTCGCGACGGTATTAGATAGCATAATAATCTTCTCCTGTCCTTTGAGAGAAATGGAGAGATGGAACACAAATATCCAAGTCAAGAGGAATTGCGAAGCTGTTGATGGGGTGATTGACATACTAGATAAACTGAGTTGACGATTCACAGAAACTACAACTGTTTCGCAAATAATATAGACGAAATGTTCTCCGTAAGTGACAGTAGTTTCATGAAAATCGCCAGAAATGAAAGTATCAGATAATGAAATAAAAGATAAACAATTGCATAACAAATAATCATTAAGCTTGCCTTTGCTCTCATTAATCTTCTAAATCTTGGATCAGCTAACTCTTCAGCGGTTGGCTGGTCACCACCATCTGCTGTGGATTTTGCGTTCTCCTGTCCCCTTAAACGGTCCTTCAGCAAGCCAGATCTCGAAGTAAAAGCTTTAATCTCTTCGGTGTCCTTCACAGCTGGCTCGTCTTCTGACTCCGAACTTGAACTTGATGCAAAGTCTGGCTTCTTCCCGGCAACATATCGTTGCACCTTCACCTTGACCATATAAAATTGACCTGAACATTATTTACAGAATGCTATCGAACCTTTCTCATTCTTTACAGGTACTGCGCCTGCAGTTGAATGTATCTGAGACACAGGATTCTGTAGGCCTTGCATTTTTGCGATGGAGGCAAATCTCCCGCTTGACCTTGGAAAACGACCAGGCTGCAAAATTTTGTCCACTTAAAAAATAGATGAAGAGTAGTATTTGCATCTAACATATTTTATGGTCCTGATTACATTTTTGGCATCTTGATGTGAAGGGATCTGTAAATGATACCATCTGAGATAGGTTAATGTATTTTTGTTAATGTCTGATAACACTAGAAAGTGTTGTACGCTGAAATGTAGCAAATAACTTATATGCACTTAGATATTGTATAATTTTCTTCTTCAAAAAGTTACATCGACAAGAAGCTTGGGGCACGTTATCTGTAACAGATGACAAAGCGATTTCTGCAACTTAGGCAATCAGCTTGATGGCCTAGTACCATATTAATCAACCGGTCTGTCTCCTGAGATCCGGAAGACAGAGGTATTTAAGGCCACAATTATGTTTTGATAAATTAGAATCCGTTGTCACTTCTTCCTTTACCGCTGATGCAGACACGAAGTCTTCTAGGGAACTGTTGCAGGAACTAGTGGCTATGCCAACGAACAAGTGGTCCACCATAATGTAGGTCATCCTTGATGTAAGTATAAAACTTGGCACTGCGGTAGAATACAACCCCATTACAGATAAGATTTTATTTTGATAAATCACACAGTGTTATACAGTAATATTAACTGATGACGTTCCAAGCACAACCTATTGCTTATTATAATATCAAGTTGTATTCTTCTTAAAAGTGTTGTATGAATATACTTAAACTATCTTCGGAATTTATATTTTCAGCTTGTATGGCGATTAGATATCAGGTGAATTCAGAAACTGTGGTGACACACAGATAGAAACCATGGCCACACCATGTACGCTATCAGTCCTGTAGGTCATTCTCCCGACACCAAAATACGAATGATATATAAGTGAATAAATATCGGCTGAATAATATCTTAATTTTCGCTTCGGGTGCTGAAGGTACTCTGAAATTTTTACCGCTCAGTATAATTTTTACTATTGTTCCCCCGGAATCTGAGTAGAACATAGAGCTTCAACAGCCCATCTCCGCATTAAAAAATAATTTACAAAACCTTAGCTTATTAAGTAACTCAATAACAGTTGTCCGCTACGAGGCAACGTTTAGGAACTCAGATATGACAGCGGAGATTTATAGCTCAGGTGGATGATATTGCTTCGTGGCGTTCTCTGAGCTGCATAGTCAATTTGCGAAGTTTTCATCAAGCTGCTAGGTGGAATCTCCAGCGCATATATCAATTTGAAGTGAGCTTTTAGATCATCTCTCCCGGTGACCTTAGGCGTGATTGGTTGTTTTTATGTGTTTTTACACCCTCTAGGCTACTTGTATTGGAACTGATTGTTTCCTTGACTTGAACTTTGACCCTTTTTGTGTGAGGTTTCTTTCTTATGAGTTGATAAGTTTTGTCTATCTCGATGTGTCTATTGATTGATGATTCACTAGAATGTCAAGCTTCTAAAAATTCTCTAGCATTTTTGTTGTTTCCTCTGTCTAATATTTGAACATTTTCTCAATCGAATTGATGTCCGTGGTTGTCTATATGTAGTGATATGAGGGAGTGGATGTCATGTCTTTTGACAGCTAGCTTATGTTCGTGGATACGAAGACGAAGGAGACGTCCAATTTGGCCAGTTTAGTGTTTTTCGCAGTTGTTACAATTTATTTTGTGGATGAGGTTGGTTTTATCTTCTTTCGCTGTTGAGTCTTTTAGTTGACATAGAGCTGACTGAAGTGATTTTGTTGGTTTGTGTGCGACGTCAATTCTCAAAGGTTTGAAGAGTCTTGCAGTGATTTCTGATGTATCCTTGGCAAACTTAAAAACATAAAATATACCTCATACTGGGTAACTGTGATCAGGTCACTGTATGTAAGCCAAAATTTTACAAATTCTGGTTCGGTATCATTTAGTTTTTCATTCATCGGTAAATACGAAACCTTTAATCATATGAGTACCAAATACCCAGTGCCCAAATTTCTTCAACCTATTAAATGCAAACTTGGTTTGAATGTTCATAGCAGCATGTAACCACCGAAAATATAGTCCAGTATGACTTACACAATCTAGGTGACTGGAGGGAAAATTGGCAACTGACATTCAACCCAGGCAAGTGCGGTATGGCCCATCTTGGAAGCTGGAAACCGAGAATGTGCCTAATATATACGCAGGGGAATCATTAATATTCATTATTTATTTCACACACTAGCATAATCATTGATTTCACGCATCTGCGTGATTATTGATTTAAATTACTGAATTCCCAAGGTCGTTAATATTTTTAAAATGTGACATTGATTTTTCTAATTGTATAAATACGGAGTTGTTGTTTAACATTTTCGACTGTTGTTTGAGACAGTAAAAGCTCTCATATCAACGTCCAGTCTTCTCTTTTATTTGTCTTGCGTGCCCGGCGGTATTATTGTTGTTGTTGTTGACGTGCGATTAAGACAGATTAGCCAGCGCATTAGTTAGATTCGCTCGTAGTCTACAAGGTCCTCATATTCACATACATAACAAATTTGGCGACGGGTTTGCTGAAGATGGACCCACTGCTTTTAGAGAAACTAATGGAACAGCAGCTAAAATTGATGGAAATGCTTGCTGGTCTACAAATATCACGCTCTGCTGATTCATCTACAGGCAACGACAGCATTGGTAGTAGCATCTCAGAATTCGTTTATGATCCAGATGCGAACGTAACATTTGATACCTGGTTTCGCAGATATGAAGGCCTATTTCGAGTAGACTTTGCGGATAAAGATGATGCCTGGAAAGTACGGCTTCTACTTCGTAAATTGGGAGCAGATGAGCTAGATAAATACTGCAACTTAATTCTGCCACAGAAGCCTAGTGAAAGATCATTCGATGAAACTGTCCATACCCTTCGTCATCAGTTTGGTGATCAGAGATCGTTATTCAACATTCGATATCATTGCATGAAACTAGTTTTGAACGAAAATGATGATATCCATACTCAGTTGGGTATAGTCAATCGCACGTGTGAACGTTTTAAATTAAAATCACTCTCAGAAGACCAGTTCAAGGTACTGATTTTCATTTGTGGTTTGCAGTCTCCCAAATTTGCTGATATACGCACACATCTATTAAATCGTCTGGAACAAGATCCACGAATGACTTTAAAAGACGTCGGCGAAGAATATCAGCGTTTAATCAACATTCACAACGATACCGTCTTGGTGCAGTCTGGCAGCCAAAATGCAGCAGAAGTGCATGCGGGGCATCCAGTACCGTCGACATCAACCGCACCGCTTCATCCTCAGCATAAACCACCATCAGCCTGCTGGCACTGTGGCTCCTGGCATTTTGCAAACTTGTGCCCATTCAAACAGCATAAATGCCGTCGATGCCATACTGTTGGTCACAAAGATGGCTACTGCAAACGCAACAACCAACCCAGATCTCATAGTCAACCCAGACGGCGCAAAAAGCTCAAGTCTTTGGGTGTTACTGCCGCATATCATATTAGTACTCCAGCACCTCGCAAATATATCGATCTGACAATTAATACACGGCCGGTACGCCTACAAATCGACACAGCATCCGATATTACAATAATATCAAAGAAATTATGGCAGAAGTTGGGATGCCCTGCCATAGAGAAGACAAACCAGATAGCAATTAGTGCATGTGGTGGAAGACTTCAATTGAATGGAGAAATTAAATGCAACGTTGGTTTTCGCGATAGTCATTTCATCGGCACATGCTACATCAATAATTCAAACCTTGACCTCTTGGGTTTAGACTGGTTCGAGAAGCTGCACCTGTCAGAGATGCCGTTAAGCAGTGTATGCCATAAGATTGAAAGTATTGAACCCTCAACAAGAAAGCCAGAAATCAGAGACAGATATGTTAAACCTAAGCCCATTAGAAGGAATGACGTGATTAATGAAAAACCAATTTCGAATCGTCACAGTGAGTATGGCTGCGCCAAAAGTGCTTCGATATCTGGCAGCAACAAAGTAGCAACTGTTAGCTCCAGTAAGAGAGGCTCTGCTCGAAAACTGAAAGTGATGTCTGTCATGGCAGCCAAAGATCCGCCGCGGGAGCCACCGAGAGCATGGCCCACGTCAAAACCATGGTCCCGCTAACATGTGGATTTTGCTGGGCCGATAGAAGGTATATACTACTTGGTTCTCGTGGACTCTTACTCAAAATGGCCGGAGGTAGTACAAGTGACACCACCTTCTAGCAGCAGAACAGTATCAGTTCTGGAAAAGATCTTCGCATGTCACGGTATACCAGAAATCATCGTATCTGACAATGGCAGTCAGTTCACCTCACAAGCGTTCCAGGAATTTTGCAAGAGAAACGGTATACAACACGTGCGGACGCCACCTTATCACCCTCAATCCAACGGTCAGGCAGAAAGATTTGTCGACACCTTCAAACGAGCTTGTTGAAAGCAGGGGGAGGGGCGAAACCGGAAGCAATACAAAACTTTCTTTTTGTATACCGAACTACACCACTGGCAGAACAGAAGAAAAGCCCTGCAGAACTTCTAATGGGTCGAATGCTACGAACTCATCACCACTCCATGTTATCATCTTCGTCACATAAACGAAGAAATAGTCTGAAGTATTACCGCAAGGGTGATGCTGTCTATGTGCGCGATTATCGACCGAGGAACAGAAAATGGGCCGAAGGCTTGATAGAACGTCGACATGGAACTCTAATGTACAAGGTTAAAGTTGGGGATGAATGGTGGATAAGACATAAAAATCAGATACGACGTCGATATACTACATCCCAAGAACCTAAACTGCCACTGGATTTACTACTGGAAACTTTCAAAATACCACCAGTCAAACCAGAAGCAAAACAAGAGATGCTACCCAGCCGACGATCCCAGCGCAAACGAACACAAACAGTTCCTTTCCAAATCGACCCCAAGGAAAAAAGATACTAAACTGATTGCAAGATTCTTTTTAAAAGGGGGAGGTAATATATACGCAGGGGAATCATTAATATTCATTATTTATTTCACACACTAGCATAATCATTGATTTCACGCATCTGCGTGATTATTGATTTAAATTACTGAATTCCCAA